GCTCCAACAGCCAATCATCTCTCCATGTCATCCTGAATCACCGCCACTCATCACCAGTAATTACAGGTATACAGAGTCAACTTTACCACAGCAGATATAGCAGTATTCAACTAACCACAGTCAAGGCGCACGAGGGCACAGAGGGCAACGAGGGTGCAGATGTCCTGGCAAAGGAAGCTGCCAACGCACCCGACGTCCATTGAAAGAATATCCCAGTTCCGCCGTCTCATTTAAAACCAATATTGCATCAAGCAGTCCTCAAGAGAGTGGCAACATGAATGGAACACAAGTGAAACAGGTCGCCGTACCTATATCTTTCTTCCAAAAGTGTCAACGGCCTGTCTCATTGCAACCCCATAACTCACAAGACATATCACTGGACACGGCCCTTTCCCTTCATATTACTTCAGACACCATATCTCCAACACAGACACCTGCATCTGCGGCTGAGAAGGAGCACCTGATCATTACATCTTCCACTGCCCACTGACAACCTTAACTCATATTAAGCATCCCACAATAATAACTGAGGCCTTCCAGCATTACATTATCATCATTAAGCCAACAAAAACACAAATCTGCAAAACCATCAATGCATTAGCCTCCATGGGCCAAGATGTGTGCCAGCCACATTAAACCCTTGCCAGCTTCCCAGTAACAAGAACATGATCTACATGAGCAACCAAAGAGTATTGACTTCAAATATTTTAGGTTCCATGAAATTGTCACAAGCAATGTGCAATGCCTGCACTCCACTAATGCGCAAACTGTGAAACTGCAGAGAGTGTAAATGTTCATCCTCATGTACTACAACTGCTGCCAGCTGCATCCTCCTGTGCACGTTCGTAAACAGAGACCTGAAGCAACTGTATACTATGTGCAAATTATGAACAACACATGCAAACAGCGAATTATTTGCGACTACACACATGTGCAAACTGTTTAGCTGTATGAACTACACAACCATGGACAACCTTATGTGCAAACGCTTGTGTAATCTATGCCCTACGAACTCGTAGCACAGAACTCAACATACTGTGCACCGCATGCCACCTGAGGTCATTATCCTAGCAATTTAGCTCAAGACATGCCTTAATTATATTTTTTTGCATGTTTTAATTCTTGCTCTTGCAGCCTCCTTTTTTTTTTTTTTTTTTTTAAATTCTGCAACATTTTTGTTTCCTTGCCATATCTGTTCAGTCAAAGTCTCTCCAGATCTGTAAAACAAAACATGAGCCCACTTGTTTGGCCATGTACAGCCTTTTTCATGTCTCAATAAACTCCTGAAGCAGCCTCTTGGGGCTCCAGGGAGTTCTTGCTGCTAGATAAAGGAGGGCAGGGATATACGCCTGTTTACCTATGTTGGACACCAGGTGCCCCTGTCCTCCAAAACCTGTAACCTATTAGAGCGAGCTATTGTCTTTCATTAATAGTCACTGTGGTCACAAGATAAAACACAAAAATGTAAAAATTTAAGTAAATCTTATTCTTTTCATCTAGTGAGACTTAAAATAATACAAAAAAACTTACTAACTGCATCAAACAGAGCCTAACTAACTTTCAACACTTGCCAACCGTGCCTACATCAGGCCTTTCAGGTTTGTTCTAATCAGCAGGTCTCTATCTAGACAAGCAGCAGTGGTGACAACATTCAGTCTTTTGTTACGAATCATGCTGCTTATGATCTTACTTCTCATTTTAACCTATGCCCGCTTGACATAAAATCTACATGCTATTTACTAAACCTCTAGACTGACCAAGTATGTGACAAAATGAGACGTAAAAAAAATCAACATAAAGCTAGTAAAACATAAATGTCACTTATCATCTTTCAAATATGTTCAACTATTATAAGTGTAAAATCTTTAATGCTACTTGATAAATTGCATAAAGTTTATTTTATTGTCTAACTTATTAATAATTATGTTAATTAATTCATGTTTAGTAATAATGCATACTACTTGCGGATCTATTTTATTTTTAGGATGGTATTACAAAAGTGAATTTTAGGCATAGATAATATTTTTAATTGAATTTATTGAGTTCTCATCTGCTCATAGGTCCTTAATTTTTTTCTTTAATGGTCCTTAAAATTCCTTAAAAGTACTGAATTTCCATGTGCAGAAATGTGTACGAACCCTGTTTTACCAACAGTGTCTGGTTTTAATTTAATGTGATAGGTATATCCAGCTAAATTCCCAGTTCGTTTAAATAAATCTTGATATCCTTTTAAAAATTCTGGCAACTTTTCATTAGACTCAGGATTTACTGTACAAATCCTTTGTACTAGGTTTAATTTTTGCAATGTAGGTAAACCTAAAATAGCTGGGACAGTTTATCACATGCTACTACTTGAAATTCTACTTCATCTTTATCACCTTTAGATGTCTCACATACGAACTTAGTTTTCCATCTACATCAATTTTAGAACCATTGTGATTATTTAAAGTGACTTTTGACTCAGTCAAATGTTTATCTCTTAAATTTAATTGTTTAAATTTAGGCAACTTATTACACTGAGTACCCGTATCCAACTTAACAAATAAATATTTAGATATGTTAACTTTTAGTCTTTCAAACCATTCTGTTTTATTTTTAGAAACTGGATTTTTATCTTTTACTGATATTCATTACCATTATAATGTAACTCGTGGTCTAAATTATTCTGTACAACATTAAAATTTTTATAAGGGCACATTTTAGAAAAGTGGTTTTTCTTTTTACAGTATAAGCAAATCTTATTATAAACAGGACAACTGTATAACTTATGAAAAGTTCCACATTTTCTACATGGTTTTGGATTATTATACTTATCTCCTTGGTAGTTTGAAGATGATTTAATAATTTGTTGATTTTGTTTAATATGGTATTTTGTCTTACACAACTGACTTTTTTCTTCTGAAGCTAGAATTTTATTCTGATTGATCATTTCTATTTTCTTTTCTTTTAAAATTTTCAGCTGAAGTTCTGCTAATTCAGAAGTTTTACACATTTTAATCCATTTTTCCAATGTTAACTTATCTTAATAACCTATCTTTAAGATTTTTACTTAAAATTCCACCTATTATTCTATCTCTTATTAAAATTATATTTTAATTCTGCAAATCCACTGGTGTACTACTTAATTTCTTTAAATCTGTTAAAAAATCATCAAACAATTGGCCTATATGTTGTCTTTGGTGTTGGTGTTGGTGTATTTAATTATGGCAAAGCACACTAGGGCTATCTGCCTAAGAGGAGGGATGCCTTTCATTGAGGACTTTCTAAGGGAAACTGGCTCGTATACATGTTACACGTGGGGAAAACCACGAAAACACCCATGCAGCCAGCCCGTTCGCGGGATTCGAACCTCGGACCGAACTACCAGTGTTCAGCGACTTTACCGCTCAGCCGCTGGTGGGCCCATATGTTGTGTTTGACAGAAAAATATATGTCTGTTAGCACTTTCATTTGCTTTTGGTATGCAATAGTTTTCGAAAGCTTCAATTACTTTGTTAACATCCTTCTTATGTTCTTCACTTAATTAAAAGTATTAAACTTTTCAAGTGCTTTTTCACCAATAATATGCAATAAAATAGCTACTTTAATTTCAGGTGATTTAGTAATACCTCCAGATTCTAACATGTAGATCTGGAATTTTGTTTCCATTTGTTCCAATTTTCTCTTAAATTTCTTTCAAAATTTATTTTATTTGGTGGCTTTAATCCACCCATATTTAATTAAAATCTTCAAATAATTTATATATACATATTTTAGCCACTTCAAATAAAAATAAACAACCCACTTACCAGCGATGAGAGTTTTGATTTCATCGTAAACAACTTCCCATCATATTTCAAAATTTAGAATATCTTTAAAGTTGTTCACAAGTGATGATGCAGCATGGTTCTTTAAAAAAGATTTTCATTTTCTTTAAATCTACTACTGGCTGCGTCATGTATCCTTTTTATATGTTGGATAAAATGATGATTATGAGATCTACAAAAACATCGTTTATTCTACATTGCTACTTCAATAGTCTATATCACAGTTATCATTAATAATAATAATAAATACAGTTATACATATAACATCAAGTATTTGTGTTCCACTAACCATCCAATCCAGAGATGCAAGATAAAGTGGTATCATCAACATCACAAAGGAACTGTCTCAGATTGGTGAGATACCCTGTTCATAGAAGAGGCGAGATTTGCCCTAGAATCAGATAAGCGTGTAAGGGTCCGGAGAGAATGAGAAATACAGAATCTTGTCCAGAACATCATGCATTCATAGGTGGCATCAGCATGGTGTGGCCTGCAATTACAGTGGGATGTCACACACAGCTGCACATACTTAAAAGCATTTTGTGATGGTACACAGTATCAGGATGAAGTCCTAAAACTCCATTGTGAGACTCTGTTACTGTTGTCCTGCTTATGCATGATAATGCTATTTCAGTTGAGCCAGCATTGATAATGAGTACCTGGAGGGAGAGAGGACATTTTTCTTACTCATAATTTTAAAGCATCTCAGCCTAGTTGTAACCTCATTAAAAATCATTGGGATGCCGTCGGACATGTTATTTCTGAATGTTTACTTCATTCTAATGAAGGAATGGTCATTGCTATCATCTGGGATGTTTGATTGCCTAGTAGACAGTGTGGGTAATTGCTGTAAAATGTGTGTGGTCTGGAGTGGTCACATACCTTGTTAATGAAAGTTTTATTTGTTTGCATTTAGCTGTAAAAATCAAATTTTTTACCCATATGCAACATCATTCTATAGTTTATGAAAATTAAATATTGTTTTCATCTTTATACAGAATGGTGGTTTTCTTTCACGTGAAATATGGTGTTTATCAGAGCATTACTGTTTTATTTTTGTTGATTTTACCTTCATGTGCTTAACTTTTGTAAGCCAGCATATATATTTAGTAATTATTGAGTAAAATATGTAAATTATTTTCTTTTGGTCAAATTCAAGTTTTTTATTTATTATTTTTTAATCTTTATTTCTAGGCAAGGAGGATTAGTACTGGAGAGCTATCTGCAGTGAAAGTCATTAAATTGGAACCTGGTCAGTATATGTGCATGCATAAATACATTAATTCTTTTTTTATTATTTCCTTATTTTTTTTCATTTATTGAGTAGGACTGAATATATATATATATATGTTGCAATTTGTTTTCTTGAAGTCTGCTTTAATCTATTTTTCATTATTTTATTGTAGTTTTGTATTTTTTCTATTCTTTCCCATCTCTGTATTATTCGACACATTCTTTTTTAAGATGTAATGTTTTGTTTGCTTGTTATTCTTTGTGTTTGTTTTTATGTTATTTCATTATTGTGTGTTTAATGATATGCTGGTTTTTCTGTTCCATTTATAATAAATGTTCAGGAAATTCTTTTTCTGCAATTTAATTGTCTTACATAGTGCTGTTCGAAAACTATTTTTTTTCAACTGAAAAACTATCAAATTTTTTCAAAATTTTTTAAAATTATAGTGTATATTATAGGGTATTTAATAAAGCGGCTCACCAGTGGCTGAGTGGTAAAAATGTTGAACATGTTTGGTAGTTTGACCCAGTTTCAAATCTCAGTGGATGGGCTAGCTACATGGGTATTTTCATATGTTATGTTGATATGAGACTATTTCTTCGAGAAGGTCCTCCATGAAGACAATCCTTCTTTTAAGCAAATAGCCATCACGTGCTTTACTATAATCAACGGAACCAAACCTGTTCATTGAAGCATTTACTCATGGTGGCTATTAATAAATGTATTTATGTTTTGGAGTAGAGTTTGAGGAGTTTTTTTTTCTTATTACAGGTAATGTACCATGTTATATGACTAAGACAAAAATATTAACATAAGGAAATGAAGAGAATATAAGAAGTCATATACCAGTTACTGATAGTGCTCTAATTGAGTTAATCAAAAATGAAAGAAGTGAATGAAGATATTTCTGATTTAGTTACATAATGCATTCAGTAATATTTCTGAGGAAAATGAAATTAAGAAATAGATATTTTCAGTATGAAATTTTAAGAGTCAAAGAAAAACAAATTAACACCTTGAGCTAACGATAGTTCTTTCATAAGTCATTTTTGTTTACCCGATTTTAATTTGAAGTATTATTTTATTATGTAGTAATGAAAGTTTCCTTTATTTAGATAGCAATTTCCACCCTTTTTCCTATGACCTGGTCTTTTTAATATTCCTGCTTCATGACTCACTACGACTTGTTAGATAAGCAGAAGTACTGCAGGAGGATAATTTAATGATAGCCTTGGGAGAGTAGATATAATGATTGCTAGAATATGTAAAAATTTGTAATCTCCAAAAAGAGTATTTATTAAGGGCTTAAAGGTATATTATCCATTGCCTTCAGAGCTTCAAAGTTTAAAAATTTTGAAATTGCAGGGTAGCCAATGAAAGACAGTGTCTTTCAGAGATGCGTGCTCACACCTAAGATTAATTTTCATAGCCAAAGCTTTGGAGTGGTTATGATCGATTTGCCCTGGTATTACTTCACCTAGCTGTGTCACTAATGGCAGGTAAAATAAAAAAACAAGGTATTTTACTGTTCATGGGGATTTATTTATTTATTTATTTATTTATTATAATAATAAAGTATTTTCTCTTACAAAATGGTTAAAAAATCAAATTAAATCAAAATTACTTTTTAATGAGAAGTTGATTATTGTTAAGTAAAAATTTCAGATTAAATTGATAAAATGGTAATTTACTATTTAAATCTGGTTCAACTTCTAATGTGTTTTTATTTATGGTTTAAGAAAACCTGTATTGAAAAGCCTGTTTCATATTTATAGACTACAACAAAAAACATTAGAAGTTTTATTACTTTTTTTTTTGCTAAAACTACATATTCCTGGCAACAAGATGGTGAAAAATCCATCATTAATATTTTTTTGAGTGCTGTATCATGGGACTATTCAATTGCAGATCATAATTTAAGTCTGGCAACTTAGATTTTTCATAAGAGGTTTTCTTATCCATATTTTATTGCTATTGTCTGGGGAAAAGATTTTAAAAGATTTCCTGCAGTTTTAGTTGATTTCCTTGATAGCCATTGAAAACTTATCTAGCATGGAACTTGTTTCATACTCTTTTACATTTGTTAAAGTTTTTCTGTCTTCCACATGACTGGATTAGAAATTTTCTTTATATCAGTCTCTTTTTCCCTTGCATTATAATGAAATTGGTACTTTGTACTATCAAATAAATAATTATTCAGAAAAGTAAGAAATGACACAAAGGGATGCTATCTGGATTAACTAATGAGATACATTCCGGTGACATCGGAGGTCATGTGATGTAAGAACTGCTAATGTAAACAAACAAGCTTGTGCTGTGGTAGATGTGTTGAAAATTCGGAAATTTTGTTTACTTTTAATAAGTTATGAAATTTGCATTTCATCTTTAATTATTATTTCATCCATTAATTAATTGTTCATTCATTTGGTTTGTATAATTATGCTAACTCATATGTTATTGTTATCTTCATGATACTCTTTTACTCTCTACTTTACCATGTTTTGATTGTTAATATTTATTTATGAATTCTTTCCTTGCTCTGATAATTAATTCATTTATAAAAAATGTAAAAATAAATACATTAAATCATGTTTACATAGAGTGCTCTTCTACAGTGAAAGGAAAGTTACTATAAATATTTTTAAGTCATAATTTTATCAGCTTAACAAGCAGAACGGTAAATATTAATAGTTGATTTTTAAAAATCGTAATATTCAAATTTCCGGAGCACTGTAAATGCAGTTGGCCCGTAAATCATGTAAGAATAACGATGCCAATGTTCTTCACAGTTCAAAATTAATATATAATTTTATACAATTTAAAATTTAATTTTTAGCAACTGACTATTATCCTATTGATAGTGTTGCGTGCGTACGGGTTCATTTGGAATTGAATGCACAAGTCCGATGAAAAATGAACAAAAATTTATTATCATCACAAGAAATATGCTTAAATTTCCTCAAATATTCATGCAGTATTACAAAATCTCACAGTAGTTATCTTTTAACTACTCAAACATTCATAAGAACTTAATTCAACACAGCTAAGGAAAGCTAATCCGCGAATTCGCTACAGTCAACAAGAGCAGTTTTCTAAACAACAAAAAACTACGTAGGTACAACGAACTGAGAGGTTTTCCTCGTGTTATAAGATTTTAAAATCGCACGAGAGAATTTTCTAGTACTTTCTCGAAATCAAAAGAGATATATATTAAATGTTAAATGCACACGCTCTTGTATTTTTAATTTTCCAGCTTAGCTTTCCTTTAATATTCGTCACGCGCTGCACTGCATGGGGAATAAAACAATTTAATTTATAATTTAACTAACATTAGCTATTTAAATACCAAATCCGTAACAATAGTATGAACTGCAAATTAACATATTTTGTATACTATAATGTAAATGTCACAAAGAAAAATATAGAGATTTGTGCAACTGAGTTCATTGCAGTATTAGCTGTGAAACTAATAATTTTTCATAATACATTTTTCTTCATTTTATAATAATAAATAATAAAAATGTACTATCTGTATACATTTTCAATATTCAAAAAATAAATTTGAAGTTATTTTTTATCCTTGTAAGTTACATAATTTATGTGCAGAAATTTTTATTTTAAAATCATGTAGCTCAAAAAGATTTTTAAGTGTATTTATTTAAAAGATCTATCATAGGAAATATACTAGTGTAATTCTAATGCATATACTTAAGACACATGTTACGGACTGACACAACCACTGATTTTCAAGGACTAAATATACATGCTAATTTAATATTTAAACTAAAAAACTCGGCAATCTCCCTTGAAAATTTAGAATTAAATATAAATTCTTATAAAAGCATCCTTTTATATTAAAATGTTTCAGTATTACTGATTTTTCTAATATCCTTAATATCTACAATGGAAAGTATTAAAAAAAATACCATTCTGATATTAATGTGTATTTATTAAAAATCGATTACAACAGCTAAAATATTAAAACATAGCCTGATAAAATTAATAAAATTTTAGCCGCATAAAATGTTCTATGACATTAATTAATATTAATGAGAAAATTGGCTTTGTTCTCATGGTCTTGCAGATAAACAGATCTTTCCCGAGTTCGACTATTTCAGTAATTTAGAACAACTATTCTTGATTTATGAATATATTATTATTATTACACTTACATTTAAAAGTGGAAAACGTTATTCAAGGTCTTGGGAATAGTTTTCAATTAACTGATATACACTTAATATTCGTAATAAAAACATTATTAATACTGGTAAGCATCACGCATAAGAAAAATTTATAAATCTTACATCGTTTTTTGCAGAAATTTGCACAGATGTTTCATAATTAATTGATTTATTCATTTTCCCTTAACACGGCTTGTTATAAGTACAGTGATATCCGGCATTACTTTGAAACAAATATTGTTCATGCTTTTCCTTGAATAACAAAAGACTGTACATGTCGACATCAAGAAAAGAGGAACCATTTCCAAGCATATTTTTTAATTTCTTGCAATAGCCATAAATTTCTAAATTCCAAAAATCAATTCATTTCAGTGGAATATCTGCTATCGACTCCATTGTAAACATAGCACATGCGGATATTGTTGTTCTTAAACACATGACCACATTTTCCCTCTTCTTCTCTTGCAGAATGTATCTCATTGACATTATGAAAACAATATGTGAATTTGAAGTCTAGCTGCTGGGGTGATATTAATCTAAGAACATAAAACTTTTTCATTTCATTTAGTCTTCTTAATGCATTTCCTGTTGATAGCCATTGCACAGTGTAAAAGAAGATGCTTTTGTTTCATTTGTATTTTATTGCACAATTGAAAAAGTGCTCTGGAATTCAGTGAATGAGATTTTTAAGAGTTTATAAATTTTAATACTCATGCATAGTTGCAGTTATTGGATTTGAGGGCAGTTAGGCATTGGTACCTCTTAGAAAACAAAAGGGGGGACTTCCCTAAAAACATTCTATGCCAAACTAAGCCTGCTTTTTTACCTAATTTAAAA